ACTGCTAAAGGAACATGGACTAGCTACAGCTAACGGGGTTCAATCTCCAATAGGAGACGAATGCAATGACGTCGATGAGACGAACTCGGAGTCTCTGAAGTCGACCGCCAAAGCTGGAGATGCAAGTGCCAAGGCCTTCCAGTCACTCGTCGGAAGTTTACTCTGGATCGCGCGTTGCACTCGACCGGACATTTGTTTCGCGGTACACCGAGCGACTCGACAGACTCACAAACCGACAACCAAGGATTGGAGAACGGCGAAACGAGTCGCAAGATACCTGATGGAAACCGAGAGTTTGAAGTTGTGCATCAACAGATCACGCGGTATGGACGACCCAATCAAGATTGAAAGCTGGAGTGATGCAGACGTTGCCGCGGGCAAGTCGGATCGCAAGTCAGTCACGGGATACGTTCTCACGATGGATGGTGCTGTCGTGTCATGGGCGTGCAAGAAGCAGACGGGTGTGTCGCTGAGCACTATGGAAGCTGGGTTCATCGCGGCATCTCACGCTGGTTGCGAGCTGTTGGGTTTGGAAGAACTGTTTGGCGAATTGAACATGAAGATCGTCAAGCCGATGCCGATGTGGATGGATAATCAAGCCGCTATCAACTTGTTGAAGACCGAAAAGAGCTCATCAAGTGCAAAGCATGTGGACATTCGATTCAAGTTCATCTGCCACTACGCTCAAGCAAACGAGGTTGATCCACGCTTCATCAAGTCAGAAGAGATGATTGCTGATCTCCTGAATAAAGCGCTGGCAGCACCAAGGATGAAGGACCTACGTGCGATGTTCAAGTTGAAGAACCCTCCGGATAAGGTTGAGGAGAAGTGCTAGAAGCTATTGTTGTTGACAGGTAGTGAAGGTCAAGGGCAATACCCTGTAACGCGTTAAGTAACAACCGTACCTGAATGGCTAAACAGACTTGACGTGCTGACAGATGGGACAAGGCGACGATATCGCCACGTCGGACCACCAGGATGTTGCGACATATGTGACGAGGCGACGAGATTATTACATTGTCTTGTCGATGTCGTAACAGATGGGACGTAGCGGGATAGACGTGAACTATAGATAGTATAGTTGCAGTCGGTTTCGCATGCACGTGTAGGTATTAACGAACACGGAAAAGTAAACGCTTAATATATATCACTTTTACTTCTACATCTTCTGCAACAAGTGCAGCAACACTACTACCAAGTTATTACGTATTCTTCTCCAGCCATTGTGCATGTCAATCTCTTGCATCTTGTAGCACCCGCGTATTCATACACGATATCGAGCTGATCTTTAACGTCATCGTGAGGTACGCGGAATCCATCGATCGTAGGCACTGCCGCGTCAAACTGTTGATGCGGGACCGTAGACACTGCGGCGTCGAATTGTTGATGAGGGAATGTGGACACTGCGGCGTCAGACTGTTGATGCGGAGGTGGATGGAATTCAGCAACCGCGGACACTGCGGGGTCAGAGTGTTGATGTAGGACCGACGACAGTATGTCGTCTATTGTTTCAGGAAACTTATCACTAAAAAAGTCCTCAAATGAAAACAAATCTGGCGTCCTCTTTTATTTGTGATCGTTAATGAGATTGTCAGACCTCAATTTTCTCTTGGCCGGGACTTCAGACCCGAGCAAACGAGCTGACCTGGATTGCTCGGCACTTGTACCAAGACCCACGAGAATGGTAGCAATAGTAGCCCATATCATACCGAAACGAAGGTGCATTGTTACACTAACACAATGCAATTCACTGCGAACCAGTCGTTGACTGATGAGGGAGAAATACGAAATGAAGTCCGAGATATGATCCCATGAATCGTCAGTCGTAGGGTTGAATATCAAGTCAGTAATCACTGCTGGACAGGCAAGCAGTATGATAGATTGAAAGGGATAGAAACGAGATTACGGAGCTGATCAAATGATAGTACGATACTTTATTGAACGAGATACCACGATCTGTCTTACCACCACAACATGCATACGCATTCACGTCCGTGAGGCAAGTATAATTTGGTTTCATGGCAACGTGTAAAGCAAGTTAGACTTGTACGATATCAAGATGAAATCAGACGCAAAGTAGAGGCGTGGGCGTCAACGACGAGTAATGCAATGTCGTCTGACGATGTTGGTGGCTAGATGCTGGAAGCTTCTCTGCAATTGATTTGCTATTCAGTTTCTGCTATGTCCAGCTTACGCTGTGACAGTCTTCTTAGCACGTCTGACCATCTCCTGGACTTATTATATGGAGCAATTGAGAGCACACTAAATGAGTCAATTCGTCGCCGTTGCATACAGAAAAACTGGCGTAAACTGATTAGCATTCGACACTGCAGACGTCGAGGTGAAGGCACGGCGGAAAAAGATGTTAAAGAGAGCAGAAACGAGACCAAACAAGCACAGCAGACAAACAACTTGGAAGAAGAGAGAGATACTGTGGATGCAGCAAAGAAACAGTTACAGACACTGGAGCAGCTTAAGCTGCAAGAGCTGACGGACCTGAAACATGTTAAATTTCAGCTGCTTAAGGACATTTTAGTAGAGGAAGCCAGGTCAAAGACGACTGGAGGTGGGGCGACGGCTTCTGTGACGATCGCCAAAGAAGCGACGTGTGGAAGATTAAAAGCTTGATACGTTGCTCAGTCCAGCACAAATGCAAGTGCCAGCTCCTCTGACAGAGGTAGCAGAGTTCGCTACTACGAGTGGCTCGAACGTTCCCGGCAAACTTGAAGCCTATGGTTACGTACAGAGTTTGAGGTGTGTCAGAGTCTTGTAGACGGTAGATCAAGGCATGAGACTGGTGCGTTTGGTCATTTATGTGCGTGTATTATTTCTTTTTCTTGTAATGTCGTTTCTCTTGGGACTTTTTCGTGAAGAATGAGTCGCTGGAGACTCTTTGTCTTTTCGTCAAGTAGTGAGACAAGAGGGGGTGTCGAGTAATGAACTGCGATGCGGTGACGCCATCGAGTGCTGAAATATTTGTTCTTCTGCTGCAACTTTTGTTGCTCGACTGGATTGAAGTATCTCCCATTTGACTTGTTCTGCCATCACAGCGTTGATTGCAGCCGCTGTAGCCCTCGGATTCGTGGCAAATGCCTTCGTCTTCCCTTGTGGTTATTGAGTCTGTCATTAATGGCACGGATTCTCTACTGCCTCTTGTAGTTCCGTCTGTGCTTCCGACACCATCTGCTTTCCCGAGAATTCTTTGTGACTTGATCACCGCGGCACTTTGAGAGTCTGTTAGCTGCGTCTTCTGCATCTTCGTATCGAGCGTCAAATTGGTCTGCACCTGCTCCAATGTCTTGTTGATTGGCGATTGAGACTACGCGCATGGATGTGATCTATATCAAAATGGCAACATATACCAGTAGAGGTATTGATGGCCACCAGGGCTTTACCACCCAGCATCAATATCCACGTCTTGAACGTGAAGCGGAACGACTGCTTACTAATTTTCCAGAAATGCTGTTCGGCCGACTCTTGTGCTGGATGAACGAAGACTTTTACGTGGCCAAGAATCTGCTAAACGTCACAGCAATTTCGTGCTCCATGCGGATATGTATGATGGGTATTTTTACATGTTCTCGCATCGAAGGTGCTCGATTTCTTGGAGGAAAGTATGTACATTGCCAGCATCAAGACTGAATCTCGTACCCCATCTCTTTTATCGCCAACATAGTGGAGCAGATGCTTTGCTTGAGATAGTGAGGGAAAAGGCCTTAGTATACAGGAGCTGGCAGTGTTCACGTCGCTGTCGGAAGCGAAACGTGACCCTGAGGATCTTGTGCGCTGCTTTGCCTACATGCTGCCTACACTGCGAGCGTGCGGACATGATGCGGAATACCGAGCTATGGAGGAGGACTTTGGCTTGCGACAACGCATCAAGCGTCGGGACACATTTCTAGCCACGGCGGTTGTTTTGTGACGCATCCTATCCGGAGCGAGACCAGCGAAACGCTCGCGTCGTTGTCGAACATCCATGGCTCACTCGCAACGTCTTACTTGCTACCTGTCGTGAGCTTTGCGAGATGCAATCTCACTGAACGAGGACCCTTGTCTTTTGTGCACGATAATCACCTGTAGCATGCCACCACGAAATAAGGACGAAAGCCTCCAGTACATTCGACCCACCCGATGAGCATTGAGATCCTTGAAGAAGACCTGGTGAACTTAAGCCGTGCTGTTGCTTGAGAGGCGTGGTGCCGTATCTGACAGCTGCACAAATGCCCGACCCAGATACCAGGAAATTCAATCACAATCTCCACAATATCAACGAGTTGCATTGTACGCACTGGAAACAGTAATGCACCACGATCAAGACGCGTGTAGGAAGGCCTTAAATACCTATCAACCTTGACCTCTACCATCCTCTCACGAGAGCGGGTCCTATCCAAACCAAGGTATCCCAAACATATCCAAGCCTCAATCTGATACATCCGTGAATTCACAAAAGGTATTTGCTTGTCTTATCTTCGCACTGTTTCAATTGTGATCGATGTGCTCACCGACATAGTGCTTTGAGAATCTGGTGTGATGAATCTGGGCAAGTGCAGCTGGAAAGCAGATGCAAACCACTTAGTACATGAATTTTATCGTGGTAAACTAAAGCTCAAAGGCTGATGACCATCTTGGTGACAGCAGGGAACACGTTTGGTCCATGCATCTAGAGTAGAAAGGATTGCAAAGGACGAGCTATAAGAAAATGTACCACAAGTTGTACAGACAGATACATGTCTTCATGACAATGTACGCTAAATGAATAGCAAACGATAAAGCCATTGATATGAACAGTAGTAGATCTTTTTACAGCATTAGCAGCATTCATTGTATTTCGGACGTACCCAATCTATTCCTTTCTTCCCGTTATGATCAAAGCCATTTGCGAAGCTTTTCATCACCTGCCCAGAGCTTCTAGCATGTCCATCAAAGCTTTTTCGTACTCGAACCATTAATGCCTCAATAGCATATACATCAAGTGTCGCCGGCAAAGTGCATCTTCAGAATTAAAATTCTCGTTCCTTTCTTTTTTTCCACTTACGTTTGCGTTTACGTTTCCATTTTCATGCGTCTGAATCCATTTCGCTAGAGCGAGGGACAGGGCAGACTCTTGGTCACTCTGCTTATTTAATGTCTTGAAATCCTCCAATGTATATCCCCACAGTTTCATCAAAGCATTAGCCTGTAAACTTGTAAATGTCTTCGGTCTATGCTGAAGATTCCAATTTATTTCGTACATCACCAATATTTTGTAACGAGAGAAATCGTAACCGGTATCTAAGGCTTCCGGCGATAGACCGAGACGGACGATGACAGTAGCTACACTTAACCTGTCACCGAGCCACGATTGAATCAACCCCTGTGTTAGTCGCGTTTTGGCGTATTGCTGTACATCTATCAGCGCCACTTCGTAATCTTTTCGGCTGCCGATGTGCTGCACCTGCACCATGCCACTTGTTTGAGCTATGACCTCTTTGTCCATATTCGGGAAACATACCGACTTTATCACAGCTTTTTCATCATATCCTACTTCTTTCAGAACACCAAGCAGTTTTATGGGGTGCAAGGGGTTCTTTTTATTGTACTGGTCCACGTAATAGATCCATCTAAACGTTGGAATCTGTACAAGCAGATTATTTCCAGGGAGAAATTTTAAATCACCGAAAACTTTGGTGGGATGCGTATTCTTCTTCAGCCATTGTGCATGTCGATCTTCTGCCTTTGTAAAACCCACGTATTTATACACGATATCGAGCTGACCTTTAACATCATTGTAAGGTACGTGGAAGTCATCGATCGTGGGCACTGCGGCTTCAGGGTATTGATGCGGGACCGTAGACACTGCGGCGTCAGAGTGTTGATGCGGAGATAAGTAGTGCTCATCGAAAGTGAACATTGGTAGATGTGTCCACGGTCCCACTGCTGCGTCAGAGCCTTGCTGCGGAGGTAAAAAGAGCGTATCAAGGGTGAACACTGCGTAGTCAGAGCGTTCATGCGAATATTTGAAGGGCTCATCAAAAGTTAACACTGGTTGTTGTGAGACCGTGGACACTGCGCCGTCAGAGTGTTGATGCGGAGGTGGATGGAATTTAGCAACCGCGGGCACTGCGGGGTCAGAGTGTTGATGCGGGACCGACGACAGTATCTCGTCTATTGTTTCAGGAATCTTATCGGCAAAAAAATCCTCAATTCCAAATTTTTCCGGCGTCCTCTCTTCTTTGTTATCGTTAATGAGATTGTCAGACCTCAATTTTCTCTTGGCCGGGACTTCAGACCCGAGCAAACGAGCCGCCCTGGATTGCTCGGCACTTGTACCAAGACCCACGAGAATGGTAGCAATAGTAGCCCATATCATACCGAAACGAAGGTGGATTGTTACACTAACACAATGCAATTCACTGCGAACCAGTCGTTGACTGATGAGGGAGAAATACGAAATGAAGTCCGAGATATGATCCCATGAATCGTCAGTCGTAGGGTTGAATATCAAGTCAGTAATCACTGCTGGATAGGCAAGCGGTATGATAGATTGAAAGGGATAGAAACGAGATTACGGAGCTGATCAAATGATAGTACGATACTTTATTGAACGAGATACCACGATCTGTCCTACCACCACAACATGCATACGCATTCACGTCCGTGTGGCAAGTATAATTTGGTTTCATGGCAACGTGTAAAGTAAGTTAGACTTGTACGATATCAAGATGAAATCAGACGCAAAGTAGAGGCGTGGGCGTCAACGACGAGTAATGCAATGTCGTCTGACGATTTTGGTGGCTAGATGCTGGAAGCTTCTCTGCAATTGATTTGCTATTCAGTTTCTGCTATGTCCAGCTTACGCTGTGACAGTCTTCTTAGCACGTCTGACCATCTCCTGGACTATTATATGGAGCAATTGAGATCACACTTAATGGGTAAATGGAGAAGATAGCCAGATAATAACTTGGATGTACGTCTAAGAAATTGACATCCATTCGATGCCATACTTTGGGATGCGCATGTATAATAGATTTACTTTAAATATTTTAATGAAGGAGTCGGCGCCACGCAAACTAAACCATCTTTTGCAATGTAAAAGCTTTATAAGAAAGGTGTGAGTTGAGAGCCGGTCAACCGGCTCCTCTGACCAGGGCGGAAAGTCCCTCCAACGGGAGGCACAGGATATAGAGGGGGGAGGTTTTCCTCTGCTGCGTGCGCTATGGGGGGCAAGCGCAGCGTGCGAACCGTAAGGAGAGCACCAACCCTGTCACTCCCGGGTTGAAAGGAATGACGACCGCGGTTACCATTCCCTTCTTCCGAAAGTTCCTGCTATTCGACGTCAGCCTTCAAGCCGCCGACTCGATTCCCGGTTCCACGAAGCGAACTTGCCAAGAACGTGAATTGATCGGCCCCGTCCAGGTGCATCAGCGGTCGATCGGGACTGATCGATGTGGTGCCCGGCGCTTGTTGCAATCATTAAGCCACTGTTTACACCTCGGGCTGGATTACCGATTCCACGTGCCCTTTCCGGAGTGTCCCCCGTGACGCCCGACGTCTCGAGCCAGCAGATTGAGCCAGCGAGGCGAAGAATGACCAGGTCCTGGTAAAGGCACTCCAGACATCTTAACAATCCTTAATGTTTGAAATAGACGGTCTGTAACTACTAAAAAGAAAGCTGTAAAGACACATTACATGTATTGGCAGGAGTAGAAAACTTTAAAGAAGGTTTGCATGTAGCTAACGAAGGTTTGACGTGCAGCAAGTTCGAATAGTTTACTGCGTGTCGATTATAACTTTGGATGGCCATCCACGTGATATTGAGACGGGTGTGTTTTTCTTGCACGGCACATTCGCTCCGCTTATAGCACGTGTAAATTAAAGACATCCCCCCATGGCCACACGGGGAAAATTAGTCTACAGCAAGAGCGTATCCAACGAATAAAGATTCGAATTCGACGGATCGTTGCAGTCCATTACAATAATAGAGTTAGCCTCCTGCTCTGGAAACGGGAAGAGGAAACAGACACCCCTGTAATTTTCTATCAACGGAGCAACGCTTCACAGTATTTGTATGAGAGAAGCACTGTTGTGTTAATGGAAAAGGGATTGCGCTTTCAGTATAATGATGTTGCCGTCACATCCTTTACCACTCGCTGCATCTGGGACGGAATTCAAAATAAGGAGCTACTCGTTCGGCCAAAATATCAATCCGTCGCAGTCAGTCGCGAGCGCATTCATTGCCAAATTGGCTGGACCGTTTCTATCGATTACTACTGTATTGAGTGGTAGTAACAAGGATTTAAGGTTGTCATGCCAAAGATCATGACGTTGAAGTGCCTTAATTATCACTCACGTCAGAGTTCAGGGCCAAAATCCGTCCTCAAGACTACCGTGTTGGACGCACCGCGAGGGAAATTGTCGACTATGTAAGAACTCACCCAAGACAAAGAGATTTTAGGGTCAGTGGCGCCAACGTCGTAACGCTTGCGTATGTCAAGTGGTATACGTTCTCGGACATGGATCTACCATCGGCTATTTTCCGCGACAGTCCAACAAAGGAAGGTGTTAACGTGGCTAGGTGTTGAAGCGGAATCGTCGGTCTCAATTGCTCCATATAATAGTCCAGGAGATGGTCAGACGTGCTAAGAAGACTGTCACAGCGTAAGCTGGACATAGCAGAAACTGAATAGCAAATCAATTGCAGAGAAGCTTCCAGCATCTAGCCACCAACATCGTCAGACGACATTGCATTACTCGTCGTTGACGCCCACGCCTCTACTTTGCGTCTGATTTCATCTTGATATCGTACAAGTCTAAATAAATATATTTCAAAAATTTATGATTTTATTATAACTTGCTTTACACGTTGCCATGAAACCAAATTATACTTGCCACACGGACGTGAATGCGTATGCATGTTGTGGTGGTAAGACAGATCGTGGTATCTCGTTCAATAAAGTATCGTACTATCATTTGATCAGCTCCGTAATCTCGTTTCTATCCCTTTCAATCTATCATACCGCTTGCCTATCCAGCAGTGATTACTGACTTGATATTCAACCCTACGACTGACGATTCATGGGACCATATCTCGGACTTCATTTCGTATTTCTCCCTCATCAGTCAACGACTGGTTCGCAGTGAATTGCATTGTGTTAGTGTAACAATCCACCTTCGTTTCGGTATGATATGGGCTACTATTGCTACCATTCTCGTGGGTCTTATTAGATTGAAGTGAAGTAGTGGTGCACTTGTGCACGTAGAGGTAGAAGTAAAAGTAAAATATATTAAGCATTAACTTTCCTCGTTCGTTAATACCTACACATGCATGCGAAACCGACTGCAACTATACCATCTATAGTTCACGTCTATCCCGCTCCGTCCCATCTGTTACGACATCGACAAGACGATGTGGTAATCTCGTCGCCTCGTCCCATATGTCGCAACATCCTGATGTTCCGACGTGGCGATATCGTCGCCTCGTCCCATCTGTCAGCACGTCAAATCTGTTTAGTCAATCAGGTACGGTTGTTACTTACCGCGTAACAGGGTATTGCCCTTGACCTTCACGGCCTATCAACAACAATAGCTTCTAACACTCCTCCTCAACCGCATCTTGGATGGTCTTCAACTTGAACATCGTTCGCAGGTCTTCCATCCTTTGTGCCGGTAACGCCTTGGTCAACATGTCCGCCATCATGTCCTCAGACTTGTTAAATCTTGGTTGCACGACACCTTCACGCACATGATGGAGTATAAACTTGAATCGAATGTCCACATGCTTCGCGCTTGAGGTACTCTTCTCGGACTCGAGTTGCTTGATTGCCGCTTGATTGTCAACCCACATCGGCATGGGCTCGCTTATCTTCAGCTTCAATTCGCCGAGTAGTTCCCGTAGGCCCAGCAATTCACGTCCCGCTTGTGACGCAGAGATGAATTCCGCTTCCATCGTGATCAACGACACACCGGACTGCTTCTTGCACGTCCACATCACGACGGCTCCATCGGACACACCCGGAGACTGATTTGCGATCAGACTTGTCGGCAGCGAAATCGGCATCGCTCCAACATTCGACCTGGACATCATTGGATGTAGGTCCGACACCATTGAGGTGCAACTTCAAGCCCTTCGACATCTTCAAGTATCTTGCAATACGTTTTGCGATCTTCCAGTCCTTTGTCGTTGGCTTGTGTGTCTGCCTAGTTGCCTTGTGAACAGCAAAGCAGATATCAGGACGCGTGCACCTTGCTATCCACAACAGGCTCCCAACCAGCGACTGGAACGACTTCACACTTGGTTCGCCCTTTGCACCCTTCGCAGATAGGTATTTCACAGTGTCCTCGTCTTCTGCATTGCACTCGTCCCCGATTGGGGTCCTCACCCCATTAGCTGAATCCAGTCCGAACTCCTTTAACAGTAAGTCGATCATGACTTCTTGGTCCAGAACGTATCCTGTCTCGTCGTTCAAATTGATTCGTAAACCAAGAAACTTGTTGACGACGCCTAGGTCCTTGACGGACAGCGAGCTCATCTACATGAAAAATTCATCCACGGCCCCTTGCTCAGTCCCTGTGACCAATAGGTCGTCCACGTAGACGCCAACCACCGTGCACGTCTCACCCTTGTACTTGTAGTACAAGCACATATCCGTGGTGCATTGTTGGAAACCACCTTGACGTAGCTTTAAATCAAGTAATTTACTCCAAAGCCTTCCAGCTTGCTTGAGGCCGTACAGTGACTTCTTCAACAGGAGGACCAGGTCACTTGATGTTTCCACGCCATGCAACTTAAGCTCTTGGTCACTCAAAACCATGCCCTTGGGCACCTTCATATAGATGTCAAGGTGCTCCTCCTTTTCAGCCTTGACGTAGGCATTGGGAACGTCACCATGTCGGGCAGGCACGTTCCAACGCCTGGAGAGCACCAAAATCAACTTTACCGTTGCCAAATCCATGACGGCAGCAAACGTTAGGGTATAATCGACACCAAACACTTGCTCGTTCCCACAGACCACCAGGCGAGCCTTGTACCTCTCCACGTCCCCGTTTGCATCAGTCTTGGTCTTATCGACCAACTTGTTGTGCAAGACGTGTGCACCTTTCGGTGGTAGTACAATCGTCCACACGCCGTTTGACTTCAGAGCATCCAACTCTTCAGTCATAGCCGTGGTCCATTTCTGGCGATCACCACTTCGCATGGCTTCGCCATAGTGTTTTGGATCTTGAGCGATGACTGCATTCACGACATCCTGTCGTTCAGCAGGGCCTTCACCAACAACTTTCTTAGCACGTCTGCTCGTTGACCTTGTGCCGTGTCGTTCCCTAGTCCATCCGGGCTTACGACCACTTCGAGCTTTCGCCGCCCGTTTCTTG